AGGAGCATAGTGTAGATACACCCAAGAATGCAAGTGAGATAACCTAGTTGATGCTGGGTGATATTACATTTCAGTCCTTTATGTTTTACATGTCTTCTAGAATGTTCTAAGGGTATTTATGTAAACTCACGTTTTGTTTAGCTAGCTAGTGGAGAATTTAGGCGGTTAAGTGTGTGCATTAATTTTATATATAAGTATACACTGTACAACTGTAAACAGTACAGAAATAATGAGAAAACAAAAAATTCCAAAACTCATTTCTCAATTCCATTTTTTGCTCTAACAAAAGTCCCCCAAAACATATCATTTGGGGAATCTGTTTATCTTTTAAATCTATGCATATATTTGAAATATGCAAAAAAATTTTTTTTTAAAAAAAGTCTGTTATTTATGGAATAAACAAAAATAATAATATTATTAGTGACAAAATAAGTGATCACTCGTGTAAATCTAAACCCCAGAACAGAAAATGGGACCTCAACATATTTGTTCAAACAATTCTGTTCATATTGGGACATAGAGTTGCTAAACGCCTGCTAGATTTTGGGAATAACCCAAGAAGGGTCAGCACAAAATTAGGGACATTTGCATGTATACCCGCTTTTTGGGTCACGTTTTAACTTGTGCCCGCTTTGCAAAAAAAATTGCAAGCGTATCCACTTTTTCGCGTAACTTCAGCATACGGGGCTGAAGTAGCAAAGACAATCACACAGAACTTCAGCATTCTAGTAGACGAGCCTGAAGTAGCAAGTGTGCTGAACCACCAAGTGTGCTGAAGTTTTTGTTTGTGATTGCTGAACTTAAGCATAGTAGCTGAAGTTTTGTTCTCTATTTGCTGAAGTTTTTGTTTGTAATTGTTGAACTTAAACATAGTAGCTGAAGTTTTGTTCTCTATTTGCTGACATTTTATTTGTAATTGCACTAAATAAGCTGAAGTTTTTTTGTCCTGGATTCATTAGTTTTGTCATTAAGCTTTTTCAAAAACTTCAGCAGAAGATGCTAAAATTATTTAGTTCATTTATAAAAACTTCAACACTAAATAAGCTGAAGTTTTTTTGTCCTGGATAAGTTTTTTCAAAAACTTCAGCAGAAGATGCTGAAGTTATTTAGTTCAGTTGTAAAAACTTCAGCACTAAAAGCTGAAGTTTTTTCGTCCTGGATTCATTAGTTTTGTCATAAAGATTTTTCAAAAACTTCAGTAGAAGATGCTGAAATTATTTAGTTCATTTGTAAAAACTTCAGCACTATATAAGCTGATGTTTTTGAAAAAACTTTCTAACATACTAGATAAATAATCAGATTGCCAACAGTATCTAAATCATAAATTTTGAAAACAATAAACGTGAAAAGAACATAATTATCATTGTCTACTAACTTACGTACGTGAAAATATTCACAAATTATTGTCTACTAACTTACGTAATTATTTATAATTTATTTTAAATAATCTGATAAATATATTTATATCAATTATTCCATGAACTGAAGTTTCATAGCAGCACCAACAACAGCGGAAGAAAGGAGGGGAAAGGGCGTTGAAATTGTTTAAAAAGTGAGTACAAGTTAAAACTTTTTAAAAAAATGGATATAGGTTAAATGTGGACGACCAAATAGGGGGACCCATGCGATTTTGTTGGATTTTCATATCTGGGCTAAGGTTCAGTTTGGTCCAGTTAGCATGAAATAAATTAACGGTAGAAATGACACCACATTGCCGTTTAAGCACCCCAATTTAAAACACATCCAGTTTTTAAAAACTATTTAAAGTTTAACCAGCTTTAGCAAACTTCGAATTGCTCACGCTGCTGCAGAGCCCTAACTTCGAACCCGAAGGCGAAGGTCTCGCGCTTCCAACTTCAAAACTGACGGCGAAATGTTGATTCTCAGGCTAAACTTTAATAACATTGTAAATTTCGGCTATTCTTTAAATAAGGGTAAAACAACGGCTATTGTGCGCTTTTCCCAAATAAAACAGCAACCTAAAACTTGACCAAAACCGACAAGATAGGTGGAAAAGACCGACTTCCAACCAATGCCGTCAAATGGGCCTTCATTAGCTTGGCACCAGGCACTATAACTTATCAACCGTTCACAAGTCGCTATATAACCACATGAAAGGTTAGTCCTATTAGATTCAGAATCATATAAATCAGATCACGAAATTGGTCCCCTATCTAACAGACTACACGATTACAATCCGACCTAAAGATTGTATTAAGTTACAATTCTTCTATATCCTCAAGTGAATCAAACTGTGCATTAAGTCGAAGAAGTTCTTCATCATCAATGGTGGATGTGCTAAACCACTTAGGTGGAGAATTACCCGATGGCATTGTTGGCATGACACTAGCTTTTGAACTCAGCTCAATCGATGCTTCTGCATTATCAGACCCTGCTTGCTTTTCTTTTTTATTTTGATTAAACAGTTGGAACTTCATCTCCCAACAAGCTTTCAGGTCTTCCTCATTTCGAGCTTTATTCAACTTATCGATAAGATCAGTGAATGACACACCCCACTCAGCGTCAGCGCTCTTCGTCTTTTTCTTTTTGCCAAGTGCATCTAGATCACTAAGGTCAGTAGCATTGTCACCTGACTCCAACTTCCTAAGCTTCCTCAATCCCTGATCAACAATATATTGCATCCTCTTCCTCGTATTCTCTATTCTAGTTGGATCCGATCTAAGCTGTAACTTCAACCGGTTTACCGTTGCCTCATTATCATCTCCTGTTGAACCATCCTCATTCTTCTCATCCTCTGCAGAATTCACTGCAAAAACCTCCTCTAATAGACCAACATTTTGCATGTAGCGATCAAAAGCTTCATTTTCAGCTGCAATATTGCTGTCCCTGAATTCCTTTAACTTCATAAACCTCCACTCGTTAATGAGTTGGGCATCCTGTAGTTTATCAATAAGGTTAACCTTTAGAACTAAAAAATAAAGTATAAGCTCATGGAGAAAACAGAAGAACTCCACATACCTTTCTAGTCAGTGGCTTCCTCGACCTTAGTGGGGTCTGCAAATTATTGAACTGTGCAAAATTGGTGGAGAGTTGACGAAGTGAAGCAGCTCCTCTATGCGAGCTCCTTGAGAAAAGGAAATAGAAGTTAATACAGATCTTCTAAATAAAGAGCAAGAAGCTCAGTAATCACCAATCCATCCTGCCTAATGAATAATAGATCTGCGTGTGGGGGAAGAATGCAAAGATATATGAAAATGCATGTGAACGGAACCCTAGCATTCCCCAGATTATTCCGCAGAGGGTAACACAACAATCAAATAGCATATTAAAATTTGAGTGCCAAAAACATTCAATGCAAATGCAGAAGAGGTCATTTCAAAACGCCAGATAAAAAGCACCTAGAAGCGCATTTCTTATGAGGGATTGTTAACTGACTACAGCTGATGCTTGTAATTACTCTTTACATCATCCATGAATAGACAGTCTAACTGTTCATCACTAAAGCTGTCATATATAATCGTAGTCATGCATACTTACGTAAAACTTACCCCGAGTGAGATGCTTCAGTGGACTGCTGGTCTACCACAGGGGACCCAGAAGATGGTAACTTATCTGGAAGAGTTGAACCACCTTTCAGAACTGCACAAGATCAAATCAAGGAGACATAATTTTTAGCACAACAAAGGAGTAACGGTATCACAGTAGTACATCAGTCAGTTTTTTAGCATTAGCTTCTAAGAACCAAGAAATTGCCTTACAGAAGATGTGTTAAAGTCCCTGCTATCAGTCTCTTTCATCCGATGACTTTTATATATTTGATTCTTCTAACATTTTCAGAACCAGGCAGTTGAAAAGTCTACTTATTGGTTAAACGTCAAAAAATCCAAGCTCATTACCATGTAACATCATAATGATGTCAAAACAAAGTTTACACCAAATGTCAACACAGGGTTAATAGTATGATGAATTGTGGCAGAGACACCACGCGTCCTTTCCTTTATTTGGCTTGCGACAATTACTCTAACGCAGAAAACACTTAAAGATGCTCAAACCATGAACCCATGATTCACAAAGACTATGGCCTGGTATCAGGTACTCCACTACCTCTCATACAAATACCCTACTCTTCCTGGAGGCAAAATTTTATTCCTATCTACACATGCTGGCATGTTTCTCTACTACTCACAACAAACATCTGATAAACTAATAAATAATCCAGCAAGCATCCGGGACTCCTGGTAACCAGTTTCAAAGATTCTCCGTGCAGCAATAACTCACAAGTAATCTAAACGGGGAAGCCTTTACATACCAGGCCTCTAGTCCAATTTTGAAGATACTCTTTCAACTTTTAAAGCCAGAAATAAATCACATGAAGTACTGTGCCTATCTTTAGATATTAAACTTCATCATAGCATATATTGTATAAACAAAAAAGAATCTATTGAAGCCTCTAGGACAAGAATAAAGTACATATAAATTAGAAAATACCATGAAGGTAAGACGATATTACTTATGGCAAAGAGCAATTTCTTCACTGGTATGTAACAAAAAGACATGTACAATTTGTTAACAACTGGAATTGAGGAATACTGTCAGCAGCCATGAAAAAATTTAAGCTAATCATACCATGTATATGACAGGGATTTTGCGCTTTCGCACAGCAGCTTTTACATGACTGGAACGGACACCTGCACATTCGATTCTCACCCATTAGAAAGACTAACTATGAAGAGAGGGAAAGCGGGGAAAAGAAATGTATAAACAAGCACGAAAGAGAGAAAATAGGATAAAATCTCTTTTTAGAAAAGAAAAAAGGATAAAAACTTAAAGTAAGTTAAGTATATTAAAGGAATTCCAAACAAGTTTTGAAATGAGAATGAGATCAATGAGGTATAGTTATGCTACTTTGATTATTTGATCAACTTAAATCACGAGGGTAAGTTCAGATAGTTTCGTAGATCATGCAAGACAGAAACTTCGGGTACAGTTGAAGATTTAGGTCTTAAAAATAAAAGACAGATGACCGAATATCTGATAAAATGATATGAGAGTAGTAAAAGGTGATGTTGTACTTCTATCTGATGCTTAGACAGAATCACCTGTCTGCATCACCAATTATATCTTCCTCCATTTCTTTCTTACGCTGTTTCTTTAAAAGTTCTCTGACACAGATAGAGAGAGGGGCGGAGGAATAGAGGAGGAAAGAGGGGAAATAGATACATAAGATGTAAGACTATTTTCTCCATTTAAAGCCACCATGCACTAAAACTACCCTGAGGGATGTATCACAATGGCAAATGATAGTTAATGAACTATTCCTTTTTTGATTAATTAGTTAATGAACTTCTCTTACGTCGAGTTTTGACAATCCGGGTGCTAATATCGAGTATATCGTGCTAGATTCTGTCATTAATGTAAGACAACTTAAGGTGTCGAATGACGACAAGTCTTGGTTTTGACTTGTAACGGCTTCAAAACTCATGCAGAATATAACTTTTCCCTGCTTTTAAGGGAGAGAGATTTAAATTTAATCATCACTGTCTTTATTTTCCATAAAAAAGTAAAAGCAGTTAGCAAAAGTGAAAGGAAGCGAAGGAGTAGTCCCTTCTCAATTGTAGAATAATCGCTATATAATCTATTTATTTTTTATAAATTATTACCCCCAAGACTGCAGCTTCATCAAAAGGTCTTTGCCTTGTGAATGTAAAATCGAACGGGTGATCGAGCAGAAGTAGCTCCTCCTTAGTACTTAAATAAGTCACTTCTTAGTTTACACTGCAAGTACTAGTAGATAGCTAAAGAACCACACATGCTCTTGACGAAAAGAATTCTCATCGCCTCTTTTAGACCAGCTAGCCATGAAAAAGTGAAGGGAAAAAGGAAAGACATTCCCCTAAAGAAGCAAATCGTTATTTTACTTTGCACATACTAGATAGCTAAAGAGAATACACCAGTTCTTGATAAAAAGAACTGCCATCGAGAAGGGGAGGAGAAAACTCAAAATGAAGAAAAAGTATAGTCGAACTTCTTTTTAATATTTTATATAAGTAAAAAGTGGTACTTAAACTTTGATGCCTATTATCCAAATTTAAGTAAGAAAAGGAGATCCACGTTTTGTATGATCANTAGAATAATCGCTATATAATCTATTTATTTTTTATAAATTATTACCCCCAAGACTGCAGCTTCATCAAAAGGTCTTTGCCTTGTGAATGTAAAATCGAACGGGTGATCGAGCAGAAGTAGCTCCTCCTTAGTACTTAAATAAGTCACTTCTTAGTTTACACTGCAAGTACTAGTAGATAGCTAAAGAACCACACAAGCTCTTGACGAAAAGAATTCTCATCGCCTCTTTTAGAACAGCTAGCCATGAAAAAGTGAAGGGAAAAAGGAAAGACATTCCCCTAAAGAAGCAAATCGTTA